TTAATTCTCAAGCATATAGGAACAAAGCGCAAAATAATATATTTTCATTGTTCTACTTGTAYGATGACATTTTTATTACTTCTATGATGGGACACACGTACTCCCATAACCACTGCTTCTTATTGGTGCAAAATTGCCAGCCAACTGAGTTCTATGGGCTTTACTTCTGTGAATAAAATAAACTGTTCTATACTTAAGAATAATGCCAAATTTTGCATCAGAACAAATAATCCCATTGCCTATTCATGCTCATAGAGTCTTTCTATTCCATTCAGAAGGCTCAAAATGTGGAGGTAGCTTAATCTGGACAGCAGGAATACAGCAATAAAATGAGTAGTAGTCACTTCACACTCAATGTACTGCAGCCCATTCATTTTCCATAACTTCCTCTATGTGAACTGCAAAGTAGAAATACGGGATGGAGAAAGTAATTCAGTTACTTTTCTCTAGTGTGACACAGATCCTGAATTGACATTGCTGCCTTTTCCAAAGCATTTTAAATCCGAGTGGCCCTGGGTTATTGCATGCTGAGGCAGGAATGAGGCAATGCAGAGCATCAAGTTCTCGCATCCTTCCATCGTCTTCCTGCACAGCTTCCCACTGCTTCGACTCTGTGAGCCTTTATATCAGCTCACCTCATCCCCCCYAGAGAGATGTTGTACATATAAAGGTGAGTTTCCAGAAACTGCCAAATTCTATCTCATCACAAAAGAATAATGATTTTTGGACATACTTCAAAACAATCGAAGCTACAGACACAGAAACACCTACGCTTATGGATCCTATAATCCCCACTCCTTACAAAGGCAGATTTTGGTAAAGGTGATCTAGATGGACTGCATTTGGCCTTATTCTGAGCTTGSCTAAACTAGCGTGCAAACAAAATGTAATTCAATTTAGAATTTGACCCTTCACATGGGAATATCTTAGGCTATCTGCACAATTTCCTGTGTCTTATTTTTTCTTTAGATTCTGCACTATGGAGAAAATGGTGAAACATACTTGGGGAGTGGGCTTGTTTTCTGGAAAAAATCCAGGTACATTCAAAAAATAAATGAACTATTAAACAATTTATAAACACTTAAGAAATATTAAAACACAATGAAGTCAAATAAATATATTTAAATTTAAATTCCATATAGCTGGTCACAYTGGAGTAATCAGTTGCTCCTATGTGATCAGATCCCCAGTGCTCTACCTCAAGTGGATTGGAAAAAAGACACATGGACATCCAGCTATAAAATTTCCCCATCCCTTTCACTCTTTTCAGCCCCCCAGAGCTCAGCAGGCAGGCAGGCAATCACATTTCTAGGTCAGATGCGACCCGGGCTGCAAGCCCATCCTGCAAGCAGCCCTGCTGCTCCTAGAGAAGTGGCCATGGGAGGCGGTTCCTCATGGAGTCCCATGACCAGAGCTCGTGACTCCCAGTGAAGCTACAGGAAAAGATCAAAGTGTGAATCATGGGACCCCATGATAAGAGCATGAGGGCAGCCCCGCGTTCCAGGGACATGGCTGGGGCTGCCCTCATTCCCCCCGTGCAGCACTGCCACATTGAAGCCACTTACTCACACTCAGCAGCTTCCCTGTGACTTATCGCTGCACATTTTGAACACATCCCATTGCACCTGCAGTGCATGAGGTTTGGTATTCCTGCCCACTCCTCGCAGCCAGGTGTAGGTTTGCTAGGCAAAACCACAGGCATCTTCATCCTCAGGGGCTTGTTGGCTACAGCCAGCGTTTCTGGTGACCCTGGGCCACACAGGATAGGGCTCYGGCCGGGCAGTGTGCGGTTAGTCCAGCCTGCACTGCCCCATCCAGACAGAAAAGGCACCTTGGAGCTACCACTAACTGGTAGGAGGTACCACTAACCACTGGTAGTGACCACTACCGGCAACAGAGTGGTCTGAAGGGGGAATATCACAATAAACTTTTCCTCAAGGTGATGAAAAGTACAAATCTGTACTGCATAGATCAAAATTGGGGGGAGGAAAGGGGAGGGAACAAGCAGATATGCCCCAAAACAACTGCTAAAATCCTCCAAAGTTTGACCCTGTTTTTTCCAGTTTTTGTGGACTTCATGCAAAGACCTTTCTGCAAGGCCACAGGCAAAGTGGGAGAGATGCACGTGGGTGTGGAGTACATTAGAGACACTGTAGGAGGGAAACAAAGTGCTCTCTGTGGGATGCAGGCCCGCATGCCACACAGGACACGGGTAGCCCTGAGGGCACAAGTGTGGGATTGGCTTGAGGTTCTCTTTTTACGGTAGCTTGCATTATATGTTTGCTTTTTGTTTCCCACTTAAAGTTAGAAGAGAACAAAAATAAGTCTCTGAGAAGTTTAAAGGAAACCTTAAAGACCTGATTCACAAACATCTTACAGTCAACCAGAAGAGCTTAGGAGGGCACAGATTTCTTTTGGTAGAGTTTAATTACAATCTGGAATCTTGTGTAACTTAGATTTTAAGCATACATAAGAGGAAACCCTCACCAACTCATTTGCTATCACCGTGATTCAAATTAATGCAAGGCTAAAGTCCTTTTTATCAGCTCCATCTACTAGCTATGTCAATTATGTTCACATCCAGCAACATCAAGTCCATTTTTTCCACCAAAAAATCCTCTTAGCATTAGTAAAAGTCATTCATTGACGCAAACCGCAGAGAAAGAGCCAACCCTCTCCATTCAGGTTGAGCTCCTGCCCTCCTGGGAGCACAGCATGAAAGCCCTGGCCCTGCTCTGCATCAGGTTGAAATCTAGAACTTGTAATTACTGTCACTGCAATTCCAAACACAGCTGTGCTCATCCTACAAAGAAGAGTTCTTCTGTCTTAGTTGCAAAACACCCATAAAATCACCCATACCATGTCCTTAGCCAATGCATAAAATTCTAAATCATATTTTGCTAGTTTYTCGTATAAACCAGAAAACAAATATGCAAAATAGGCAAAGTGGAAAGAGCCTTTTGGACAGGCTAAGTTGTTTCTCTTTCTTCCTCCAAGAACTCAGATAGTATTTTTAAATCATCCCTTGATATGTTTAAAAATAGGTATTTTGTCATCTATCAACTCTTATGGAAAAAATTACAAACGCAATCAATACAATTCCAGCTATTGGTTGCCATCTACATTATGCATTCAAACAGCCTTAGAAGAGTACATATAGATCACTGTGAAAACAAATGGCACTCTGCCAAACTATAGCACAGAGCAAAAGTAGGCCAGTCATCTGCTTAAAACCTGCTGTCACTAAAATCAATGACTAACATGTTGTGGAATATTTTACTTGATTCTAGTTAGAAATGCAGAATAACACTGCAGTCACTGCACAACAAGATGGGATTTAATGCTTTGGGCAAGAAGCTGTTTTGTGTTCATTTTTTAAGATAGAAATAAGCCACTGTAAATAACATGCTTTTTAAAGGCCTGATAGTAATCCTCAAAATGATGCATGTGGTGCATGATTAAAATACATTTTTTTAAATAACAATAGTTAAATTTCAAGGAAATTATTTCTGTAATTGTTGCTATGTGGACCAGTTTAAATAGAAAGGTTTTCCTGCTAGAGATGTCATGAGAAAGTTTGTAAGGACGCTAATGTTGATTTCATTTCTTCTTTTCATTTATACTAGTTATTATGCATTCTTAATAACTTTCAGGTTGTCACTAGATTTTAAAAAGGCAGAAGAAAGATCAAAAAGAGAACATGATAAAGCATTATGTCACTTCCAGCTCCCTCACTTCCAGCTATTCTGTGAGACCTGAAAGGTATAATTGTGCTCTGCCTGTAGAGACAGCTGCCATATAGATGCAAATGAGGGTCACAGGAATTTCCATAAAAGACAGAGCTTCTGTTGCTTTGGGCACCRCCCCCTTCACAATAACATCTGAATCACTGATGGGAAAACATGATAAAAGAAGCAAGTATTTTTTACTTATTTGCTTATGATAAAACTCACGAAGGATAGTCTGTCCCAGGCAAACAGAACTTCAAAAGGTAACTCCCAGTTCTTCAAGTTTKCCATATAAAATTTATTTTCAGATAGAAATACAGAAATAGATAAGAAACATAGAAAAGGTCTAACCACTGACAGTGTATTATATTTAATATTTTAGTTTGGTTTTAAGGATGATGTCAAGCATCCGTAGCAAAAGATTATGTATGTTACAAATATGAAAGCAGTGGCCACCACAAAATGTAAAACTTAGGTGTAGAAATATTCAGATAACAGGTGAAAAATTTAAAAATAATTAAAAAAAAAGTTCCAGCTTGTTGCTGGAAGGGCTGAACTCTTTTCTTTCATGTAATTTTTAAATCAGGTTGTGCCCTGCATACAACATACTATTTAAGTCTTTATAAAAGCACACATATACACAAAACTCACTGCATTTTTGAAAATAGCCCGAGTCATATGTTTCTGTACTCTTAGTTGTACAATTTCAATAAAGAATTAGTGGAAAGTTGCTGTGGTTTCTGTATGTACACGGCTCCTAAAGCGACATAGGCCTTCTCTCTTTGTACAAACCTTCATTTGTTACAGAAACTCCAAGTAAGGGGGAAAAGAAAAAAAGACCCAGAAAGCTCAAGCACATCAGGAGAGCGCCCAGCACAGGAAAACCCCAGACAGGAGTAATTGCAGTTACTTCTTCTCTGAAAGACCTACTTCTGCAGAGCACTAGTTTGCTTCCAATGGAGCAGTACTGAACATTTGTCATCAGGACATTATATAAAGCATTCCACAGGATTTAGACAAAGGAAGAAGAAAAAAGAAAAGCTTCAAATAGACTTGCACTTGCTTTACTAGCATGGTGGYCAGGAGGACACTAGTACAGAGGGGCTATTCTCATTAACTAAAAGCTTAATGTGTCTGCAAAATTAGCTTTAAAATTGTCTAAGACATCAGTACATTCAACAACAAAACACTGAATTAAAGCATTTCAGCTGCATTCTTGGAGGTCCCTTTAAAAAAAAGTATAAATAAAAAGCCTTAATACATGTCACTCACCTGAAAAGACATTAGGAAATGTCTCTGCAGAAGCCTGCACCCCTGAGGACTTTCTTGAATGAGTCAAAGGCACTCTTTCYGGTTGAAACTTCTCTCTGAAGCCCTTGTGCTCCAGGTAGCCTGCRGAGCCCACCTTCTGCACTAGCTCGCTTTTGTGACCATATACCTCATCAGTCCAGTCTGCCGAACGGCTAAACAAACCTGCCAAACTAGCAGACCTCTGCTTCTTGATTGAGACCTTTTCCTTTTTGTGAGAGGACTCCTGCCTCCTGGTGAAAAGCGGGCTCTGGGATGGGGAGGGAGAAGGTGAGTGGTTGGGAGAACTCAGTTGCCTCGTTGTGGTTTTGATGTAACAAGGATTAATTAGGTAGGGTTTAAAGCAGCGGGAACCAAGTGCGGGGCTGCCTGTTGTCCCCTYTGAGRAGGAAATGTCATTTTTCATTTCAGYGGATAAGCCATTAAGCAGGTCGTCTTGGCTGGCCGATATTGTGTGTTTATCTTCCTGAGTCTCAGCAGCACGGCTGCGGCCTGCATSCCAAACTCCATCCTCCGTGACCGAACCTTGCAGATCATCCTGCACATCACTAATTTTAGCCTCAGAATCCACTCCTGAAGCTGGAAAACACAGTGCCGAGCCATCTATCTGAGACCCGTTTTCTACTGCAGCTCCATTTAAATCCTCCTTTAGCTCGCTAGCTACAGCATCCACGCTGCCAGTGAGCCGTGCCTGCTCCTCGATCAATAGCTTGTGTTCCTSGGTTTTAAATAAGCCGTTTCCAGGAGAGCCTGCTCCATTTACCGCCTCTTTCAGTTCCCTCTCTTTTGCACAGGAGCCCGGAATGCTTTCCACAATTTCAGATCCCACTGGAAAAGCCTCCTCGGTGCCCGGGCTGCTCGCTTTGTCAGCGGGAGYTGCTGAAAGGAACCGTTCAAAATCTAAGGGGGCTGCTTGGGAATTAGCTGTGTGTCGGCCCATTGTTTTGGTGACAAGGTCCTCGGTGCCGATGCTAATTGCCCCCTGCTGCTGTTGCAGCCTAATGGCTTGCTGGATATCAGAAAGCAAATCCTCTTGTTCGGTGGCTGAATGGAAACTGTATATATCTGTGTCAGAGCCAGAGCTGGTCCTTTGTCCATCCTGTGTCTCTGCAGCAACCGGGACGGTTTCATTCCTGATTTCAAAATGCTCAACGTCTGTGTCCGAGAGACCCCCTTCATCTGCAGAGATGCTTATATCGGGAGTTTTGGTCACAATTGAATGAGTGCTGTCCAGCTCCCCCGGCGGCAAGGCCTGGCTTTCCAAAACATCCTCCCTCGAACTGCTATTCCCATCTTTAGCCTTGGATAGATTTTTTCTGATCCTTAAATTTGAAAACACCGAGGCCCTCGAGTCCGACTTACCCTTCTTCTTACCAGATTCACTTCCTTTTGCATGCTTCCCCAGTCCCCTCCTGCTTCCCGCTGCCTTCTTTGTGCCATCTGTATCCTTGGGCCCTGAGACATCCTCTCCTCCGTCATGTACATCACCTGCATTCTTCTTTAGCTTCCCATCTTGATTCCCCATGATTTTCCGCAGCACAACGCGTTCAGAAATCAAGCCATGCTCCCGGATTTCCTCCCCTCGGCCTGCCGGCGAGATCCCCTCTAGTGATGATCCAGGYTTGTTTTCAAGCGGCGGTGATGCAAGCGCAGCAAACGCTTGCTGTGCCTCTCTCCCATCTGCTAGAGCCGCCTTTTTGCATAATGTGCTGCTTGCGCCGGGCTCCGCCGGGACATGCTCAGTGCAGCACTGCGAGCTGCAGACAGCTCCTTCCAATGGCTGCTCCTCGCAGAGCTGCCGGCTTGCRGGGCTTTGGCTGCGCTCCTGCCTCTTTAGGAAAGACTCCGTGAAGAGTATTTCCTTTATAAAAGTTACTTCTTTTTCCACCGTTTTAATTGCCTGCATTGTGAGCTCGGTTTGCTACCTATTCATTTATAACTTCAGGACTTCAGTGTTTGAGTTCCTGGAAAAGACGGGGGAGGAAAAAAAAAGTTAAAAAAAGTATCATAATTACCATAATTATGCTGCAGTTGTTCACATACATAAATTAGTAACTTTGGAAAGAAAAATATTATGCTGTTTTAATAGTTTACAAGTTGCTTAAGGACATGTTGCTTTGACAGATTAAACTGTACCTCAGGCATTTTGTGTGTTTTGTGTGTTTCCTTTCTAAAGGCCACCAGGACATGATACACAATTTTAAAAGGCAAATCAAGCAGCAAGTAGACAGAAGAGGGATAAAAAGCCAAAGATCTTCCCCACCATTTTAAAGAACTTAAAATTCAATATATTATGGTAATTATAGTACCAAAAAAATGCTCCCACAATTTGTATTCTGAGAAGGTACATATACTATTATTCCCGAGAGATTCAACTCATCAATATTAAAACACATCACCATTGTTTTCACTGATAAGAACATCTGGCATGAAGCAAGATGAAACAAAGAGAAAATAAATATCACTATTCAAATACAGCTAAAGAATAGGATGAGAGTAAAGTATTCCTCTGCCTCACTCTAAATATTTAATAATGGATGTATACTCCTTGATAAAAGCTTGATAACCGTTTTGCAACCTTATGTAAGGTTTTTAATCAGTTACTTATTTTCTGTCTTATAGGTGTGGACACCCATATTTCATAAAATACTTTTCCTGAACTTTCAAAGAGGTATGCCTTTTTCTCTTTAAGAATTAGGTTTAAATATTTGAAATAACTGGCAACACACTGGCTTGCCAGATGTAATCAGTTCAGTGGTCCCATACCTTATTTTTGACCCCAACCCAAAAAAGTATGTAAGTAGATTTCTGTATATAAGACTAGGTGATCTTTAGATATGATAACTGTCTGCTTCAACTCCTGTGAAAGTTTTTTCACACGGCCCTTTAGCAGCTTCCTTTTCATCAGAGATCTCTTAGATCTTTCTGTCACAAAGATCACACATCAATCCAGAAAATGCACTTAATCTACCTAATTACTTTGTTATCTCTTTCTTCCTATCAGCAATTTCACTTTCTTTCCCTCTACCTTACCTTACATTAAGATAGGAGGGAAAAAGAGGGAAAACAAACAAACAAACAAACAATCATTTAAACTTTAAAACTATCCAGAGACCCCACTTCTCCTTTCCACCCCTGACTCACACTGCTTAACATCTTTACAAATACAGACTGTGATCACCACTAAATAATTGCCATTAAATGAGATTGGAAAGAACGACACCATTAGTGCTCTTGGTTCAGTGTTTGCTCTGAGGGACCCTGTTCAGTGCTTTTCCCAGTTCTAACTAGAATCTTATGAAGGCTTCATCTGCATTTTGTTTTGGATTTTTAGTATTCATTCATTTTGTAAATAATTTATAAAAATACTAAGATAAAAACTGCAAGAGCATGTTTTACTGTTTTGTTCCTTGACTCCTTTCCTACTTTTGATGATTATTACTGAGCTACTTGTAGCTCTCAAGACCATGTAAAGGTAAAATCTATCAACAAATTAATATAGTGCTGAAGTAATATAAAGGTTCTGTTGACTGRATATTTAAGAGAAACCTGGAACTGGTGTAACTTCCTAAAACATTCTTCTTTYCTTCCTTCTCTGTAAACATTCTCACACTGCAGCATTTGTACTGGAAAACAAAAACCAAGTCATCTGCAAACCTAGGGTAGTAAGACAGGAAAATTAGAGATCAATTTGCCTTTTTTTTTTTTTTTTTAAGTATTAGAAACAACAAGATTATAGTGATTTAAATCATTTACCTATAATGTATATTTCCTAGAAGTTTTATACAGTATAACCCAAATAATAAATTCTTCAATATTCTATATACATGGATAAGCATGGCAATTCACTGAAGTTAAGTAAGCTACCCAGATAACTATTTGGTTTCTCACTCTGCAATACTAAAATAAACCAATTATATGTATATATATATATATATAAACACACACACATATATAAAATATATACATATAAAATCATTTTCTGGAGAATCCCTCTGGCTAGTAATTTTTTTGTCTTTATGGGAAAATAGCATCATTGAAACAGCATTATTTTTATAAGAATACTTATGCATRAGGCCAGAAGATCAAATAATTTGCTGTTTCTTCCACATAAGGCAYAGAAAATGTGTTAAAAGTGGGAATGGGACATCAATTACTCCAAAGACTCTAAAGTAGGTATTATAGTACAAAACTCTCATACAACACTCGCTGTAAAGTACAGAGGGTAGCATTAAACAAACAGCATTTAAAAAAATTGTACTTATACTTTAGTTACTTTAAAAATATTTTTTTATTTACTTTTAATTACTTTAAAAAAGTAATTACTTAAAAATACTTGTACTTTTAATTACTTTAAAAACTTAATTGTACCTTATTCTTAATGGTCTTTTAGATTTTGAAAAAAAATACTTTATGTAACAAGACAGCAGAACCCAGAACATTTTTTCAGCAATATAAATGCCATTTGAAAAACTCAGAACCACTTCAACATTCTAGACCCCCAAAATAATAATAAAAAAAWATATAAATTAATTATGAAGAAGTGCTTTCAATGCTTAAGAAGGATATCTCATTTTTAAGCAGAGCCATAACTCGTTATTAGCTATTACAGACCACCAAAAAGCTCAGGTCAGTCCCAGATCCTACCTCCCTCCCCTGAGATTTTAAGCAGCCACTCACAAATTCAAGAGGAGAGACTACAAGCTCCACTCTGGTACATCCCTCATCTGCAAGGCTCTTGCAAAGCCCAAGTGACATTAATAGCAAAATCCAGCTTAAAACTCACATTTGTAGATGCCCTTTCCCTTGCACACTGAGTTTAACTTTCACACAAAGGTGCCTCTTTCAGAAGAGCAACCATTGCCACAATGAGCCAGTGCCAACACCCAACCCTGCCTCTCAGGGAGGCTCCACTCCCCCTGGGAAAAGGAAGGGCTGTGGCATCCTCATTTTCCCCACCTGAAAGCACCAGCTGAGCCAAGGCCGTTAAATCCCTGCGAGGGGGAAGGGGGAAAAAAAAAAAAAAAACAGCATTTCTCCTGTTCTCCCCACTCAACTCCAAAGTATTCCCCAGTTTCTGGCACCTCTGACCTAGGCAAAGCCGGGGAAAACCATGGTGGGAGTGCTACACTTTCCCAGGATATGAAYCCAACCACCTTGGTAGCTTTCACTTCTTACCACAGCTAATTTACTGCCGCATTTTATTTGATTAACTTTTACAGTGGTTGTCCCTGTAAGACAAGAGTAATCACATGCGTGGCAGCCCAAGCGCTAGTGGCTGTTGCAGGCCCAGCCCAGTGCACTTGTGTTTGTTGGGGTCCGATCCATAGCAATATTGTGGCAAAGCTAARCAAAATTCCCAGAGGAGAGAAACCATGGGAAGGCTGAGGTTGGGTGGCCATGGGAAAAGGGAGAGCAGGGCACCCCTGCTGCAGGGGGTCCTATGAGGCTCGGAGGCTCCCTGCACATAGGTTTGAGTGGGAGGATAAAGGCATGTTGGCTAACAAGATGTTTGAAGGTCTGGTGATGACACGTTAGTGACTGTGCACTGTAATCCAAGTAGTGCAAGGAGCAACTGTTCAAGCGGACACTCCCTGCCAGCCATATGTCACCCAGGCTGCAATGCTAACAGCACGTAAATCTTTAATTTTACTAGGCGTGAGAGAGGCTGCATTCTCTTTTACTCCAGTTGGATTTGTATCCAGAAGTCCTGGGAAGCCTCACCAGGCCACCAACCTAACTTAGGAGCATCTCCAAAACAGCTTCACATTTCAGGCCCCCTGGAGGCAGCAGGAGCCACACAAAAGTGATGCTGTGTCTCCCCYTCAGGCCTGGGCAACCTCTACCATATCTGACTGTGGCAGCAGTAGGATATAGGAGATCTTTCCCCAGCTTGAAGCCTTCTGGTGGAGGCATGGCCCCAGAAGGTCTTAACTGCCCATTAAAGATGCTCTTATGTTGCCAGAGCATCAATCACTACCAGGACAGGTGAAAATCACTGCCTCCTCTCGTGTCCTGCAGACTTGTCTCTTACGACTTGACAAGATCTAGTGGTCTTCCTTTTCCTATCCTAATGGAGAGAGCTAAAAAGAACACACTGATTAGGGGGAAAACAAAACAAAACAAACAAAACAGAAACAAAAAACAAAATTCCAACAGTATGCAGTTGGTCCCCTGATGGCAGGAATGTAACTTAGTTTCTAGTGGATATGAGATTCTTCTACCTTTTGGTTGCTTGTCTCAGGATCATGCCTCATTCACTGTTTTTATTTTACACAGGGGTCATCCAGCTTCTGAGAAACTTCTTTTTCTTTAACATATTGAAAAACAATTCCTCCTATAAGACCTAAGAACCTAACTAGCAATGATCAAATAGAATTTTTCTTGCTGAGCTAATTTATTTAAATATATGAGAAAATGAGGACTAGGTTTTTCAGATGCCTGCTCAACAGTTCTCAACTTCTCCTACATAATTTACCCATCTAGTGAGAACTAATATTTAAATTTAATATATCCAAAGAGGCAGCAATGCAGTCTTTGCCAATTAATATGCTTCAGCATCCCCACTTGGTTATAAGCTTTGGTTATATGCCAAAAATCTTTGTGAAGCATTTAACCTGAATTTCTCACCTAAATGCAGTAAGACATTTATTCATTATGAAACAATGTTTTTTTTGTTTAAAGATATGATTAACTKAACATAACAAAACAACCCAAAGCATTCCAACAACAAGTGATTTTTTCTGTCTCCCTATTGCAGGTTTATTGCAAAATAGGCTTCTCAGTATAAGAGGTACAAATATACAAGAGCTATACAGGATGGGTTGGCTAAACAGCTACACACAAAACCCTGACAGCATTCCAGAGATGTATGCATTGTAGGTCAGGGTCAGGCCACAGAAACGGTCTCTGAAAATCAGGCTTTTTCAGTTACTGCTGCCAGACTCCTGTATTTGAACCACAAGTTGCTATGCTAGTATGGCAACCAGTGTAGTACAATAGTGAACTGTGAGAGTCTGTGTTGTTTTCTCATGTCGCATAGTGTAAAAAATAAGTGATCATATGCCACAGGCCACAGATTTCCTTGCAGAGAGTTAATTCCAAACAAGTTTTATTTCAAATAGAGTTAGCCAGCAGTTGTTCGCTGATATCTGTTCTTGTTTGATAGCATAGTCTGCACATACTTAACCAACTTTTTTTTTTTTTTTTCCCATGATGCAGTCTATACTGGTTTGCATTTAGTTAGCTTTGTGTATAAGACAGTTTCTCCAATTTAAACCACTGTACAAAACAGTAAAAAAATGAGGATAAGAATCCAAGTTAGAAATCTGTTTTTTTTTCTACGGGAGCAAAATCTGTGCCCTAGCAGTCTTTCTTCAGTTCTCTTAACTTTTGAACCCATCAGAAAACTGCAAGTTTTTAAGAAGATCATTACTGCACAATTCACATGCATATAAAATCAGTATTTGGTAGAGGAGTGACTGTCTGGGTCACTGTCTGAAACTGTTGATGAAACAGGAWCACATACTTTAAGTTGTGATGTTTGTTGGTGAAAAGATTCACCTACTTTAAGACTACCCACCACAAGCAAGCATTCCATAGGGAAAAATGAGTAGAGCAGAAGGGAAAGAGATTTGTTGTACTAGAGTGTTCAGAAAGGAAGAAATAATACAAATCTGTAGGATCTGGGCCTCCTCTTTTTCATTCCTTAGAGAAGAACATACATTCTCTGTTAGATACTCTTGTTACATCAAGCAGAAAATTAAGTATTATCTTTTTCGTTTTGTTGGACTACTCCCATGGCACTTAATCATAGGGTTGAAAAACGTGAACTTTGATCGTATCAGTGGACCTTTCTGCCTGCAGAGAATCCAAAATGCTGTGAAACAATAGTAAAATCTGAGCCTTGTCCTCTTCTGCAGGAAACAAGGGTTTAAGTGCTTAGGACTGTCTTTTTTTAAATAAGTATCTACTAATTTGAAAAAGAAGTAGATAAGCTTTTTTTTTTTTAAAAAAATTTCCTGAGATTCTTCTATTTTTAAGCATTTCTATCAGTGACATGGTTTGTTCTAAAATTATGGGTTTATTATGTATTGTTCTAAAAAGATTTATTTCATAAACACTTTTACCATCCTTTTAATGCATCGGCCCTTATTCTGTTGCAGACACATAAACACGAGCATTCATGCGTGCACATGTACAAATGGAATATAGGTCAAATAAAAAGGGAAAATATTGATCAGCTTTCAGTTGTATTTCAAATACCAAACCTCTATCCACTGTCACAAAGACTTTCCCTTAGAAAAAACAATAATTAGGTAAGAGTGCTTTGTAAACCATCTGGTGTAGTTTACAAAATGGGATGGTTTTGAAGATAAGATCTTCAGGGAAGATTTTACCTATTTGAAGATAATATATTTTTGTTCAAATTCGTGGCAGTCACTCACATATATTTAGTAATTAAAATGAACKTTTTTTTCTGTAGTAAGAATTGGGAAATCTTTTCTCTAGTTCTTGGTTTCCATCAGTGTGTAACTTTAGCAAGCRAAATACCACTTATACCAGTGCATTGAAGTGAACAGGAAAATGCAAATCTCCCTGTCTGTTTAASAGTCTTAGGATAAAGGCCTTTGTAGCTGAAGTGAAAAAAAATTGTACTGAGACTAAAATTGTAAACCRGCATCCAATGCAGTGAAAAATAAGCTCTAAGAAGGAGAAAGACAGCATCTCTAAGAAAACGGAAATAAAGCTTAATTGGTATATATCATATATAACAATGTCTGAGGTTTTTACTTCCTCTTACTGTGATTCTGTGCTGTTGTAACACGATGAACAGCATAAGTGATCCAGASAAGGATTCCTGAGTGTTGCTTTTAGATATCTGCATTTATTTTACTCCACAGTATAGCTAAAAATGAGATTTACAAGAGTTCATCTCTTAGAGATCAATGGAAGCTGCTCCAGAGAAGAATAYAGATAGCTGCACAGTGAACAGTATTCTGCACTTCAGGGATTAGTTGGTTGAGTTGTTGCCCTTCCTCGGTAAAATCTTGGCTTGTATATGCAAGCCCCAATACTTTTGTCTTAGGACTGCATATGTTTTTTCTTCAATAGTGGAAATGGACCAGGGAAGCATAAGGAATTTATGCAAGAATTCTAGGCCTTGTAATCTATTATTTCCTGGTTTCCTATGCATTTATGAGTATACAAATACGTATATACAAATATATATAGGCAGTAGAGCTATTTTAGAGCACCTAAAATTAATTTCCTGAACTGAATCATTTCTACAACCACTAGTTCTTTCCACTGAGTTCCCATACATAGAACACAGACAACTTTATAAATTTCCCTCTAGCTATCCCAGAGTTATATTTTGTGATTGGTGCAGTTCATTTGATCTGTATTCAACTATTCTGATATTTGCCTTTTCTGTTAACTGCAGTGCAGTAAAATAGCTGGCTTGAGGGCCAGCAGTAGTTAATCAGYCATAGCATTACAGGGCTTAGGCTGAGCTACAAATCCACCCAAGAGTTACAGTAAATACAGTACTTGCTAATGTGCAAAACGTCCTGACTGCCTGATTAGTTTGGGGCACTTCAGATAGGATTTGTCTACACTAAGACAGGTGTGATGGCAATRTACATGTAAACTATGATGAGTTCAACACATAACTTATGTTTTATGTGCTTGCCTAGTTCTTAGTAATGGGGATCCAAAGCTTTGTTAGCACAGTGAGTTTCTACTGGTTTTGCAATTAACTTGGCTTTCCTATTGTCAGCCATATAGCTGTCATAATAAATCAAGTTCTGAAGATGATTATCTCTATAAAGAAAACAC